AAAAAGGCATACTACTTAAGTAGCCAGTTTTTACAATATATACGTTTTGCTAAAGGTCGAAAAAAAGCTCGTTAAAAAGCCCGCATCCTATCCTGACTGAAATGACTTCAGAATAGACTACAAGATAATCGGTATCACAACTTGAGTCAATGCCGATTAGCGAAAAAGTATCAGACTTTTGCATATGTCGAAATGTTGCATGATCTTTGGCGTCTACTGTATACATGGAATAATTGATTTTGCACAATTCAAACACCGACGTTAGAGTACGGTAGTAAGTATCGAATAAGTGTATCTGACTAAGGAAAATTGAAGTGGCCGTCATAAGTCCTAAATTCCGGCTTTGTTAACCATGTAATGGTGAGTTAGTTAAGCTGACTCTGAGTCTTCAAGAGACCGTCCAGTGTTATAGGTACACGCGCGGACAGCCCGGTGTGCATTGTGTTGTGTGAAGTGACTGACTTATGGACCACAACTAAGAGTGCAATGGCTTTCCTAAATATGGCCTTTCAGGCACCGTCGCGCAGCGAGGATAGTAATCACCCCATGACGTTGGTTTTTGACTCACGGTGTAAAGCCCGGCGTTCTTTTGCATCGCTTCTTGCCCTCTTCTCACACCGGGCGTAAATGCGGATGGAAAAGAGTGATTAAGGCACTAGGTTAATCAAATCTCACTATGAGCCAGCTGGAGTCAATGGCCCTGCATTAGTTTGATCTGGAGAAAATGTTAATCTCCATGATCAAAATGTCAGTATACACACATACGCTATCCGATTATTTTTCATGATAGTCACTGACCGTTCAGGATGCAATACTTTTTTGCTCGACTTGTGTAGGTCATTTCACTTGTGCGAAGCAATGTAAGGACTACGCGCCTGTTTGCCATCGGCCTCGAAGATGGCGCCAGCACCTCCCTTGTTACTGGCGTGGCTCGAGCCGGCGGTGGAAAATCTGCATTCGTGCGAAATAAGTAAGCTCGAATTTCTTATATTTAAACTCACACAAAATATCTTCACTTTGAAACAGTTTTCGGTCAATGACTAATTGGCGTTGTGTGCGACTAACCTTGTTCCGCTGTACGGGAAGATCAAAAAAGCGTTGAATTGAAGACTATGCGCCTAATGTATCTTTATGTCCCTAGAGGTTGCTCCGTTTTTTTTCTAATCATCCTACGTATGCGGGTACTCTTTTAAGTGCATCACTTAGAAGCAATCTTAAATATATTTAATAGCACGGTTTAATTAAAACCGGTTAGAGTCGCATATTGGTTAATTCGCTTTTAACTGTGTTAGTTCCGCCGTCATTTCTGCTGGTGTCCAACGTAGGCCCCTGCAAGCCAAAGGCAGACGTGCATTAGATTTAGCTGATGTTAGACTTGCACTGCAGCTATCGCACCATCTTTCGCTATCCCGCCTGGATCCAGTTGCATGGCCAAATTAAGGAGAACGCGGGCAGGAGAGGGCGCAAGCAGTTGGCATAGCCGGGTTCGCCACTAACCCGGACGCCACGCGGGGTGAGATCGCAACCTAGTTTCGTATGCACACGGCATGCAATGCTATTTCAGTAGGCATGCATATGAACGAAAACGTTTTGAGGCGAAAGTAAAGGCTGCATGCTT